GTTTTAGTGATAAACAGACGTTAAATCAGCACATGAGGATTCACACAGGTGAAAAGCCGTTTTCATGTGTGACCTGTGGAAAAGGTTTTAGTCAAAAACGTGATTTGACTCGGCACATGAGGATTCACACTGGTGAAAAGCCGTTTTCATGTGCGAACTGTGGAAAATGTTTTAGTGATAAACAGACGTTAAATCAGCACATGAGGATTCACACAGGTGAAAAGCCGTTTTCATGTGTGACCTGTGGAAAAGGTTTTAGTCAAAAACGTGATTTGACTCACCACATGATGATTCACACTGGTGAAAAGCCGTTTTCATGTGGGAACTGTGGAAAATGTTTTAGTCGAAAACTGACTTTAACTCACCACATGATGATTCACACTGGTGAAAAGCCGTTTTCATGTGCGAACTGTGGAAAATGTTTTAGTGATAAACAGACGTTAAATCAGCACATGAGGATTCACACAGGTGAAAAGCCGTTTTCATGTGTGACCTGTGGAAAAAGTTTTATTCGAAAACAGCATTTAAATCAGCACATGATGATTCACACTGGTGAAAAGCCGTTTTCATGTGTGACCTGTGGAAAAGGTTTTAGTCAAAAACGGGATTTGACTCGGCACATGAGGATTCACACTGGTGAAAAGCCGTTTTCATGTGCGAACTGTGGAAAATGTTTTTGTCACAAAGTTACCTTAATCCACCACATGAAAATTCACACAAGTGAAAAGATGTAGAAGTATTTTCCATACATGTCCTATGTTGAGGTTGACTATAGAATTTATTTTGGTTAAAACTGGAATGAAAGACTGGAGGGATTTCATGTCTATGAAGCTGAAAGTTGTTACATTTGTTAAATGTGATTATTTGGATGTTCACATTTAGATACTTAGAGATGTGCATTAATGACACATCTTCCTTCGGAGATGCTTTATTTTTTCTGGCATATTCAATATCAAAAACAATGATAAACTGCATGTTACTTAATGAACATCCTGTTTATGTCAAACTGTATGTTGTGTGTACAACATGAAGAGCAGAGGGCTCAGCACACAGCCCTGAGGAGAGCCAGGACTGATGCTGGTAGCTGAAGAGCCAAGGGGGCCACTGACTGTTTCATGCATGAACAGAGTCTGACCGGTCATGGACTCCCTTCCAGAACATTCTCACAAGATTGGACTCGAGGGATTGATTTGTATTATTCTGTTCAATAGAGACAGTTTGTGGGGTTTACTTTTGTTGCTTAAATCAAAAATAGAACGTACTAGAATGGTTGCGTGTACATTTGTACTTTAAAAGAAATCCAAGATTCACCACAAGCTAATTGTACAAAGGGTGTGTGATTGTTTTCAATTATTAGCTTTTTCTCTACTTTTAGCTGTAATATTTTGCTCTTTTCTACTGCAACTGACTTCTGTTATATCACTGTCTTTATCCTGAAACTATGTTCATGTGCATTTATATTGATATAAAGGTTTTATTAATGTCTAAGAAAGAAATACAGTGTAAAATTTCATGTAAGAATAAAAGTTTTGAGTTTTCCTTTAGTGCATGTTATGCCTTATTCTTGAGCCCAGCAGATGGTGGCTCTACACCTGTACTGGTTGTAGCCGCTGTGGTTCCTGTAACTGATGGGTTGCTGGTTCTGACTCTCCACATCCATCTCAGTTGTTGAGTCCTTGAGCAAGACACCAAACCTGCCTTGCCTGCTGTTAGTCAGAAGTCCGATGGGCCGATCGTGTAGCAGCTTCTGTCAGTTTGCCCCAGGGCAGCTGTGGCTACAATGTAGCTTATCACCATGAACGTGTGAATGACTGAATGTAGAGTAAAAAAACACTTTGGCATCTTCTCCACTACATAAGGCGCGATACACACATTTACCGCTTGTTTTTTTGTCTGTTTGTTCTGTTCTTTATTAAACTTGTCCTGTCTGGCAGTGGGGCACTCAGCATTGTTGAGTTCCAAGGTGAAACTCTAAAGACTTGTGGAAGTGGATCATTAAGGCTTTCGCTATGACGCTCCACCTGGTATTTAGAAATTAAGCTTTATTGGAAACTGCTTTGGGTTTATTTAATTAGATTGTAACGAGACAGAGAAGAAATTGGGATAGAAAGAATGTTGTGGATAAAGATTTAAAGTGAAAGGAGGATAGAGGAATATGTTTCCATGTAAACCATCGTTGCCTGTTAGACTCAGAAACGACGCTCTTTTAAAATTATTGACAAAGTATTTATAGGAACATGAAGTAATTTAGTCCTCTGATTACATTTCTGAGTATTGCATCACTATGGGGGCCCATTAGCTGATACTGAACTTCTTATACATTAATAGATTTTGTCTGTTATTTTGCACAGTAGCAAAGAAACTTCATTAATATGAATGGAATATTCATTTTACTGTATTGTAAATCATTACTGAAAAAACAAATCAGTTCCATTTATGGTGGGCCCTAGCGACCATGGGGCCCTAAGCAGCTGCATAGTTCACTTGTGTCCTGGTAACCTCTCATCACGACAGACAGAAGGAATTTACCATTTGCCAATTCAACAAGTTGGCCATCAAGTGAAACTTAAATCACTTTCAGGTCTTGTTTATGTCATTTAATTAGCTCTACTTCCTTAAGGACATGAAAAGGTACGCCTCAGTTTCCTTTGAAATTTAAACATTTTATGACAATCAATGAAGTTAAAAATGCATTCACAGTTTTAACCATTGAATTTCAGGTTATTATTAATTTAAAAACATTGAAGTTTGATAAACTTTTGTAGAACTTTCTGAATCTCGTCTGATAATTTCCAGCAGGACTTACCTGTGTCCTCATTATCACTACATTTTCCTGGAGTTATTCCAGGTGGAGTTGTTGGTTTCCTACATTGTAAACTTTAACATCCTACATTTGGGTTTCATAATAAGAAAATCCACCCCAGCTTTTTGAAAAAACAACAAAAAAAACAACACACACACACACACACACACACACGTTAGATTTGATAGTCACAAACTAAGTTTTATACACTGATTGATCTTGCTTGTACAAAGTATGGTTGATTATTATTGTCTTCAATAATTTAGTCTGTTGTCTTAGTTGTATTTTTCTCTTTTCTGCTGCAGCTTCTTCTATTTTTATGAAAAGATTTTACGTTTTTCACAGAAAAGTGGCACTGCATGAGAACTCTTTAGTTGTGATGATCATAGGAGCCACAAGGTGGCGGGAATGCAATACCAGGAAAACCGACAATCATAAAACCCTGAGGAAGAAGAGGAAGAGGACTACACGTGGTCTGTTGTGTTGAATGTTCGAGTGTTTCTCTAAAAATGTCTTCAGTCCAGATTAAACGAGTTTATCAACGAGCGGTTAACTGCTGCTGAAGAAACTTTCACAGAGTTTAAAGGAATCATCGTAAAGTCGGAGGAAGAGATGGATGATCAGCGCAGACTGCTGGATTTCTCCCGGACTCCCCGGATAATTTTACACCGGATAGGTAGGAAACACCAGCGTTTGGATGAAGGTTAATATATGCATCTTTCTGTATGACTATCATCTTAGTAACTGTTCCTCTCCCGTATAAATGTTTTGTTAACAGATAAATGAACGTAGACTTCACAATTACACTGTGATAATGGCTTATTTATAGAGAGAAAATGGAGCCAATGACCTTTTTTATGTCTCTCCCTCCTTAACTACACGAAGCTGAAGTTGGTTTCCGATTCCAGGTTCCGATTCGGGAAATGGCTAAAGGGCGATTCCACCTAATTTTTCACTACCTTCCGCATCTTTAATCCACTCTAGTTTAAAAAGTACAACACCCAGACTCTTCAAACCTGGACAGGATTATTCTGTTCTTAGAGCTGGATATTTATAACCTTGTTTGTGATTTGTGAATCTTCAATAAATGTTGATTTTATCGCTTTTTTGCATATGGATCACACTAGAACTGCTTCAGCTTCAAAACAACTCAGACTCTTAAAACCCGGATCCTCAACTAATAGCAGAATATTTAGAACCATGTTTGAGATTTGTTAAACTTTTTTCTTATTTGTGAAACTTCACTTCAATTAACAGACCGCTACAGAAAATCTTTCCATCCAACAGCCAGCATCTACAATAACTCTTTGAAGAATTAATGAGTTACACCAACAATTAATTCCCCATTGGGATTAATTAAGTGGTTTTGAATTAGAATTAAATTTGAAAAAAAAAAAAAAAACTGCATGGAATAAGGGTGAATAGTAATCTAAACTTTGGGGAATTTTCTCAAATCACATAAAGATTTCCCAAATCCCAATCTCTAAAAGAGACTTTAAGTGATTTCTTTTTTTTGTGCTTGAAATAAGCAGATTTTACTTGGACAAAATAAGTTCTAGACTTTGTTAATGCACAGTATTCAGCCACGCCCCTAACTCCTCCTAACCTACAGCGGACTGAATACTGACCAGCTCTCCATCTCACGGGTCCGAAAAGCCTCTAATTCCTGGGTATTTCCGCAATTAAGAATATAGAGAACTTTTGTTTAAGCTGGGGAGCGAGAAAGATTCGTCTAAGCTCTAGCTACCTTCATCCAGACGTTATGACCCGCTTCAGACCATGATTCAGACATCGGAGTAGCCCCGCCGGTGTCCGAACTCATAAACCACATCTGTTCATGGCAGCTCTTTCCCTGTTATTAACGTGCACTTGTTACCGGCTTAGATAATTTTAGCGACTAGGAATAAGTCACAGGGTCATTATTTATCTGAACTAAAGAACGTACGAAGCCACCCTAATTTACTAGGACCACAAACACTGATTTTACAATAATCAAAAGAATTCAATTTAGTTGACTCAAATAACTTAACTGTCCACAGCATCAATTAGACTTTAGTATTTTTATTAGCAAGCTTTAGCAAGGGAAAAAGACATACAGCATGTCAATAAAATATTAAGAAATTAATATTTTTAAGAATTTTTAGAAATTACTCCTACTTCTAACCCTACACTGTGTCCTGATCTAAATAGAAACTTTGGGGAGGCAGTTTTCACTCGAACCCAGATGCAGAGACGATCTTTGGCAGCAGAGAACTTTAACGTCCATGGATGGAGGCCTGACTTTGTCTTGGCAGAATCCTTTTAGAATAGATCCAAAGTTGAACTGGTGAGAATCCTCAAACTCAGTTCTTTATCCATAACAGATCTTTGTCTATTCCCCGTGTCCACTGCAGCATCGTTGTAATCTTTTGGGTTGAGTGTGGGGCCGCAGTCGAATCAGAATCCCGAGTTGTGGGTAAACAGATCTTGTTCCTTTCCTGTGCAGTGAGCAGTCTCATCGTCCCGGGGTATCAGCAAGCAGTCCTCCATTGATTCTGCATCTCCGTGTGTGCGTGACTCAAACGCTGCGGAACAAAGAACCCCGATCCTCCTACCTGGTGTCTTTATATTCTTCTCAGCAACTGCTCAATTCTTTCAATTTCGCTTTTTGGTCGTGTACGTGTCAGCAGCCCACACATCTGCGTCTTGGTTGGCCTCAACCTTCAGATGAACTTCCTTGTTCTTTAGAACTGAACTTTCTGAGGTTCTCTATCTGCCTTCTGCACCTGTTTCCTTCATGCATCTCAAAAATCTCACTTCCTGTTTCTGCTTGGACAGATGATCTCATATCCATCACCATCTTGCAGACATGATGTCTGTTCTAATTACCTAATGTCTTGGTCACCTCTGCTCTCCTTTCGGTTCCTCTTTTCCCCTGACCTTCACCTACCATCTACCTCCAACACAACATCAGTGACCTTTAGTTACAGTTACACATTTCATACCATTTCAAGTCCAATGTCAAAATCATATTTATAACCTTTTAGTTTCTCTGATTTAGCATTCATTTGTAATTTTATAATAACCATTACGTGTTAGTTACTCTTATTATAATCATGATGTGAGTTATTACAGACATTTCTGAAAAGAAACCAAGAATAATCCATTATTCTAATTATTTGACACCATGTTACAGTTACTTCTTTCACCTTTAAGTACTTCCATAAGTATAAGACTAAGTGTAAATATTCTTATATCAACCACTGGTTAAACCAATATTAATTATTGGCTCAATCATAAGTTATCATTATTAATTCAAGTATTTTACTCTGGGTTTTATCCAATTACTCAAAATGTTTAGATCTTATTCTTTAAACCTTTAATGCTCAAAATGAGCACTCTGAACTATTTTTATTCACTGCAAGCTGGAAACTTCCTCTTTCTTCAGGAAACCTGCTCTTCCTGTTCCATGACTCTCTTTCTGTCTGATTATGTTTTTTTATGATTAAATAGAAAAAAGTAGAATTAAAGCAAAGTTTGCAGGACACTATAACAACACACACAACCAGATTAATTTCATTACCGTCTGACTCTACTGTTGGGTCTTGATGTCGCCTGTGTAATCAGTTTTAAAGATAACTTTATTTATTGTTACTATTAAACTAAAATCTCCAGCATGGGGAAGTGGGATGAGCTCGAGTTTTCTCGACAACTTGAAGTTTGTTTTGTAAATATTGATATTCTAGCTCCTAGCATATATTTACTCAAGTAATATTTTCTTAGTATCAAGCTTTTATATCTTACTGAGATAATTAAGAAGCAAAACACTTAAAATAAGAAAAAATATTCTAACATAAAAACCTCGGTGAGAAAAATTATCTTGTCAGAAAGAAAACAAGCATAAATCTCCTTAATTTAAGATATTTAATTTGACTAAGATTTCACCTTTTGCAATGTAACCATACACTCTTGAATTTTCAAGTGTTTTTTTTTTTGTTCTGTTTATTTCTGTCTTAAACGATGAACGATTTCTCCCATTTACTTCAATAAATCTAACAATTGCTCTTTTCCTCTGTTTTCTTTTCCAGATTTCCTGCAGTGTAACATTTATAACCAGGAGAGGAGATCCACTCTGGACCAGGAGGAGTTAGAACCTCTGCAGGTGAAACAAGAACAAGAAGAACCAGAAGATCAGCAGATAAAAGTGGAAGAGGAAGAAGTTTACTGCAGTCAAAGTGAAGAACAGGTTGAGTTAAAACAGCAGACTGATACCTGCATGGTGGTTCCCGTTGATGAACAAACATCCCACACTGAATCAGAACCAAACGGGAACCAAGTCATCTTCCAGGAAGCTGCTGAAGCTGAGAACCTAAATCAGGAAAGATGCAAGACTTCCTCATGTGTCATCAGTAAAAAGCGTTTCGCTTTCAAATCTGTTTTTGATGCTCACATGAGAATTCATACGGGTGAAAAGCCTTTTTCATGTGTGAACTGTGGAAAAAGTTTTAGTCAAAAACTGACTTTAACTCAGCACATGAGGATTCACACTGGTGAAAAGCCGTTTTCATGTGTGAACTGTGGAAAAAGTTTTAGTGATAAACGGACGTTAAATCAGCACATGATGATTCACACTGGTGAAAAGCCGTTTTCATGTG